AGCATGGGGAGGGAGGCTTAGCTCTCCCCTGAGCATGGTGACAGGGATCTCCCCAGAGGTGTGGGTGACACCCTTCCATCCACATAGTCCCACCTCAGGCTTTACTGCTTTGTGGGAAGGTGGACTCAGGCTGGGGAGCAGTAAAGAACATCTCAGACCCAAAGAATAACAGGCTGAGCTCAGGTCCTGCTTGACCTGGGCACAGGAAGACCATGGCCACAAGGGGGCGACATTGGTCCGCTCCTGCTTCCAGATGGTGCCTGGGCTGAGCAATTTCATGAAGGGAGAATGTTGTTCCCTGAGCCTGGAGTTCCAAGTCAAAATCCTCCTGCCCAGCCCACTGGGTTCTTATCTGTGTCCTTATCTCACTGGGCAAAAAACTTAATGAGCTTTGTACTCTCTCTTATCCTGCCAGTAAATGTAACGCACATGACATTTCATTAAATAAGATATAAAGATAAAATAACCAGTCATCAGCAAAGACTTATAACGGGGTCACGCCATCTAGGTTTCCTTCTCCAAGCGGGGTCACAGAGGAGCCACACGCTCTCCTGGCTCCGGGAGTCACCTGCACGCGCGCAGGGCCGAGGAGGGACCAGAGAGACCATGGCAACAGTGCAAAATTGGTCCTTATCTGTTGTATGGCGTTTCTCCGAATCTGTGGAATATCTCTTCATTTGGTTCTTGTCTCTTGCTGTACAGAAGGTTTTAATCTTGATGTCGGGCCAGCTGTGCAGCTTTTCCTTTTTTTTCTTTGCCTCTGGGATGAGTCCTCAAACAAGTTTCTGAGATGTTTGTCATGGAGGGTTGTGCCGATGATTTCTTCTCTGTATTTAAGGATTTCAGTTCTTTTCCCTACACTGAAGTTCTGCACCTCCTCCACATGCCAATTATCACAGCACAACTACAAAAACATGACTGAATGGCTACTGTGATCCTCTACACCAAAAAACTGTCAGCACCCTTGAAATGAGACTTTCAACACTGAAAATGCTTTCTCTCCCCCACACCCCTTTCTCTCTCTGTCTCCCTCTCTCCCTTTCTCCCCCTCCCTAAAGGCAGAGAAGACAGAAAGCAATGCCTTTGATATGCAAAGGGAAGATTCCTGGCTTACAGTTATTCACTCAGCCAAACTATCCATCAAGCACTTGATTAATACAAGCACGTGATTACACACTAGGAAATGCAGGAGATGGACCTGAAACATTTGCTCCTAAAAAACTACTGAAGTATTATTTCCACCAAAGTGAGGGAGGGTATAAAAATAGAGACAGACACCCCACTGCGTGCACTGCAGCAATTTTCCAAAAGCAAAGGTACAGAAGCCACAAGCTCTGCATCATTCAAATATTCTCTATGCATGTGATGGGGTACTATTCGGCTTTAAAAAGGAAGGAAATCTTGTCCTTTGTTATCACATGGGTGAAAGAGCACATTATGCTCAGAAAAGTAAGACAGGGACAGAGGCCAGCAATTCATGACTCCACCCTGTGAAGTGTGCCATAAGCAAAGTCACAGAAGCAGGAAAGAGGACAGTAGTTAGAAAATATAGGTACCCGAGCTCCTTGCCATCAGTCTCAGTAATGTCTTTGTAGATGCTCTCCAAAAGCAAGAGAAACAAAAGGGTACAAAAACAATGGCACTAGGTCAAACCAGAAAGCTCCTGCACAGAGAAAGAACTATTGAAATGAAAAGACAGGTGGGGCCTCCCTGGTGGCACAAGGGGTTAAGCACAGCACTGTGAAGCTATCCCAGCCTCTGCAGCACGAGTTCGATCCCCAGCCAGCCAGGGAGGATCCCACATGGCGCAGCAGACCTCACCTGTCTTGCCAGATGCTCCCCTCAGCAGTGTGTTTCAGTCAGTCTGCCCGTTCTGTTCCCCACTCTGTTTCTGGTGAGTCCTCTCTCACACACACACCCCCAATCACACCTCTGGCCTGTACCCAGTTCTTGTACGCATAAATAAATAAATCTTTTTGAAAAATGAAGATAGGCCTCCCTGGTGGAGCAGGGGCTAAAAAATCTCAGTGTTATCAAGCTGTCTCCTGCCCCTGGGGCATGTGTTTGAGCTGCTGCCAGGGAGCTGCCAGGGAGGTGACCCACATGGCGAGGCAGATCTCTCCTGTCTCTCCCGCTGCTCCCATCAGGAGTGTAACTCAGTAGATCCACCTGTTCTGTCTATCATGAGTTATCTCACTCCCCACACATCTGGCTTACACCCCAGTTTTTGTATGCATACATAAATAAAAACAAATCCTAAAAAACATAATAAAATAATATAAAATGGAAAGACAGCTGACTGAATGGAGAAGAAATTTGCAAACCACATATAAGAAAAGGGCTTACAGTCAAAATACATAGTTTATAGACCAGAACAATCGACAACCCAATAAAAAGTGGACAGAGGGGCTCACTCTGCAACACATATACTAAAAACAGGGATAATAAAAAGTGGGAAGAGGCCACTCTACTCCCAACACTGCCCACCTGTGACTCTGAAGCTGTTTCTTTTCACACACCTGTCCCGTTCAGGGCAGCTCTCCTGACCGCTCGTGTCTGTGCAAGTGTCCTCTCCTTCAACTTTTCTTTCTTTTTTTTTTTTAAGGAAATTTAATCTTATTTATTTATGCATACAAGAACTGGAGTGTAAGTCAGAGGTGCAGGGGTGAGAGGATTCACCAGAGACAGATTGGGGAGCAGAACAGGCAGATGCCTTGAAATACACTGTTGAGGCGAACAGTGGGCAAGACAGGAGAGGTCTGCTGCGCCATGTGGGTCAGCTCCCTGGCTTGGGGATTGAACTCATGCTGCAATAGCTGGCCGAGTGACTGCCAATAGCATGACAGCGCTGAGAATAAACCCCTGTGCAACCAGGGAGGCCCCTCCAAATTTCCTTATATAAGAAACTGGCCCTTTTGGATATAAAAAAATAAGTAAAATACAAAATTGCTGTACCTCACTGTTGAAATGGCTACTATGGCAATTTTATCTCATGTATTTTTTTTACCACAATAAAAAATTTTCACTTTATTAACCCCATTAATTACTTAATTAACATTAATTAACTTAAAGTATATTAGTAAGAGCTTAGCATTTCTTCGGAGAGAGAAACATGTAGGGTATAGAAAACTGAAGACAGGGCCTCCCTGGTGGTGCAGGGGGTTAAGACACAACCTATGAAGCCGTCCGCAGCTACTGCAGCTGGAGTTTGATCCCCAGCCAGGGAGATACCCACATGGCGCAGCAGACCTCTCCTGACTCGCCCACTGCTCACAATAGCAGTGGATTTCAGTAGATTTGCCTGTTTTGTTCCCCACTCTGTCTTTGATGAATCCTCTCACTCCCGCACTTCTGGCCTGTACCCCTATACTTGTATGCATAAATAAATAAATCTTTAAAAAAAAAACCTAGAATGCACAATGGTATGAATGACATCCACCCTGAGTAACAGCATGAAATATCATGACACACACAACTCTGAATAGATGTATCAATGATTCTCTTTTCCAGTATCTTTGCTGTGAACCTAGGTAAGGGGAACGGGACCAAATCCTCCTCTTCCTTCCAGGCAGGTCTTGCTGCCTAATGGGTGCCCCTTAAATCTTAGCTTTTGGGTGGTGCCCCCCCAACCCAGTGCTCTCATCATCAGTGTTTAACCTGGTAGGATCAGTGATTCCTGACCAAGAAGAGCGCCAACAGTCTGTGTGTCCCTGAAGTGAGGAACCACTGAGGCTTAGGTGGGAAACCCCTCGCCTCCCCACCTGTCTTGCAGAAACCTCACAGAACCAGGGGGAAGATGCTGGGGCTGCGTGTACTCCTCCACATCCGTGTTCACTTCTTCTCTCCTCAACTCAGTCCTCACACGCCCAGAAGCCACTTCACCCCAGAAGCAGACGGGCCCCTGTTCTCCACGGTGAGGTTGGCACAGGGCAGGGGAAGGGGCCCCCCAAGAACCTCCAAACCTGCCTGCTAAATGCCTTCTGCCTTCCACCTTATCCACACAAAACATGATCAGTACATGAGACCTGCCATCAGAGGAACTTTAACACAGTTAGTGTGTAACAGAGAGAAGGGGAAGAATGCTTTCCCAATCAAACACCCAAAATGACCCATGCCCTCGTGGCCCAAAGCAGGACTGCTGAAGCCCAAAATCCTGCCACATCTGGGATCCCTTCTGGTGTGGAATCACAGGAAAGGCCAGAAGCGGCCAGGCAAGACTGCAAGGAAAGGCCGAAAACCAAAACCCACATTAATATAAAGGCTGCCATCGTCAGTCTCCCCGCGGTCTCTCACCCACGTTTCTGTCCAAGTGTCTTCTTCCATGTCCCCATCCCTGGTACAAGCCAAGGCCAAGAAGCAAGTGCAGTTTCTTCACGTGTCTCTGCCCCTGTGCCTCGCCCAAACCCCCCTCATGCTCCCCTTCCTGCCTTCTCTGGGTCTTCTTTAGCTTCTCCTCCCTGCTCCACCCCACCCTTCCTTCCCAGGGGGCAGGAACCCTGGGGATTACCCTGTCACAAGGTCACCCCAATGCAGTGTCCCTGTCTCCTCCCGAGATCAGCTCTGTTCCCTCACGTGAGCTCCCACCATCAGGGCAGATTCCCCCAGACTCAGCCCCTGAGCACTGGCCCCAGATGCCCCATTCCAGCTTCTCCAGCCCTTTGTGCTTTCCTGTGAGTCTGGCAGGACTGGGAGCTGGGGAGCGGGAGCTGGGGAATTTTAGCACTGTATCTACCTCTCCATCTCCCCACAACCTCATACTATCCCTTCCCAGACACATGAAATAAACACAGTTCAGATATGTATGTTGACAGTTATAAAATTACATACTATTACACAAATGAAGTCAAGTCTACAGATATGTGTGTAAATATATATTTATATTTATATATATTACATGACCTGAAAAGATATACAAAGTGACAGAGCACTAAGGAAACCTGGCGCTAGACTCCTCATTAAGTACCATAAGAAAGACTGTAACAGATAATGTTAATGCAAAATAGCTCAATCATCACATGTAATTGCACAGTAGTGGGATGAGAGTATATTACAGCAACATAATAAAAGAAATAATAATACTTAAATGTGGCAAAGATTGAACTGTAGCAGGGTGGTCCCCAGGAAATGCCCTATAACAAAACCACTTCACATATATTCATTTTCATCCCATAACGATATCATATTACAAGAGAAAAATACTCTTTTGCAATTTCACAGATGAGAAAAGGGGGCCACCAAAAGAGAAAGTGCTGGTAAAAGGAGCGCAGGCAGTGAGTCCAGGCCCAATGTGCAGATGCTAAGCGCCTGTAGTTGAGTCCCTGGACCCAGGCGCTGCTAACAGAAGCTGAGAGCCCTGAGGCTCCGCAACTTGAAGGTCCCTTGTCACCACTTGGCTGCAGGCAAACCGGCCTGGGGAAAAAGACACCAGTAATTGTTCAATTGGTTGCAGACTTACTGCTTTCCGTTTCTTCAGGAATTCCCCTTCTGCAGCTCTGGAATCACATTTTGTTTGTATCTGACGGGGGATAACACCCATTTTTTCTCCCTCTCACCCCACTTTACAGACCTGCTGGTCTCCCCCTCTGACTCCACCACATCATCACCTGTCCCTGCCCCCAGCACCACCACCAGGTGAGAGCTTGGAAGGGCCAGACTGAAGGACAACATCCAGGAGCAGAAACACAATGCCCCACTCCCCATCCCTGGCCTTCCCCCACTCAGTGCCAGGGTCTCTGAGAGAGAGGTCAGGCCCTGGGGTGCTCACAAGCAGGGGCTTCTCTCCTCAGCTGCCAACCTCCCAAGCCTCCACTAGGTCACAGAGGCTTTATTGCTTGTTCCCCCCAAGTCCAAGATCACCCAACCCCATCCCCAACATGCCCATGGTTCCCCACTCCCCACAGCCCTGGGGAGCCTGAGAGCAGGGACAAGCCTGAGGAGACTGAGCAGGAGACAAGGCCTCTGCCACCCCCATCCCCAGGAGGGAGGCCCCGGCTGCACACTCAGGGCCCTGGTTCTGCGCAGGGCTAAGGGCTCAGATGTGGCCCCCAAATCCCTCACAAGGACCCCACTTCCAGCTCGTGTTATAGAGGCCAGTCATCCCTCTCTTAGCTGCAGAGTGGGAGACATGAGACCCCGGTCACAGGCAGAAGAGCCCCTCCCTTACTACCCACAGGCCCATAGCTCACCTGGACTCTCCCCAGCTGATGTCTCCCTGACCCGGAAGATATAAAGGACAGCAGCAACAAGGACAACAGAGACAAGGACACCAGCAACAGGGATGGCAATGTTGCTGCTGTCATCCAGGTACACAGCTGGCTGTGGACGCTGAAGCACCTGCACGTTTCCTAGAAAAGGTCTTATTTTAACCTGTACACTCAGAGCCACCAGCCTGTTCTCCACTCCCATCCTGACCCTACAGGGTCTCACCCCTCAGGTCACCCCAGGCTCACCACAAGTCACAGTGGAATTCCAGTTGTTTTCCACAGAGCAGGTGACCCTCTGCTCCACTCCTTGGGGAATCCTTAGAGTCATCCAGGCCCAGTAGGTCCCGTTCTCATCATGCAGGACACCTCCAGGCAGCTGGGCATCCAGGCTCATGGGCTCATGGTCCTGAAGCCAGACCAGTGAGATATTCCAAGGAGAGAAGCCAGATGCCCGGCATGTCACGTTGACCACGCCCTCTGAGGCCTGGCTGCAGGTTGCATTCACAGCTGGGGGCACAGAGAAGAAAGCACAGAGTCAGGGAAGAACAAGGCCAAGCCCTGCTCCCCAGTAAGGGACACGGAGGCTGCTCCTGCCCACCTCCTGCTTTCCCCAGGTGGTTCTGCACCCTGGGGCCCAGCTACTCAGGCTGGTGGGAGGCCCGGGACCCACATGCTGATGCTGAGGAGGGGGATGTGAGGGGTGGGCTCCTGCACAAGGGGACCAGGAGAGACTGACATGCAGGCTGGGAGCCAGCAGGACTGATGTCCAGCCTCAGGGCGTCCCCTCCTTCCTGACACCCACACTCCTGCTCAGTGCTCTGTAGCTCCCCTGGACTCCATGCCCTCTGGTTTCGTGTTAACACCCTTGGTTATCACCTCCCAACACCACACCCCTGATACCATACAGGCAACCGTAGTACTGGAGGGTCCCCTTGGGCAGAGCTGGGAATCTGGGGCTGGGGGGTGTGGGGAGCCCAGGGTCTCACCTGTCCTCTTCATGATGGTCATCCAGGAGTCCCGATATCTCCGCAGTTTTCCACAAACATCACCTTGCACAAGGGCCCAGGAATTCTGGTTTCCAATCCTATCTGTGTCCCAGGATTTCTTGACTTCCATAGCCAAGAGAAGAATTGAGGACTGGGGTGCTTCCCATTCATGGGTCGTCTCGTTATAGAAGAGGAAGGGCTCCCCATTATAGAAGAAGCGCCTGAAGACCCTGGTGGTGTCTTCCTGGATCTCACAGCCCTGAACCTCCTGGAGGGAACGGGAGCCTACCCCCAACACAGACCCAGTGGTGACTCCCCCAGTCCTGTGTCCCCTGCTCCCCCAGGGGAGAAACTCACACCACCCCCGCCCCCACTCTCCCCACCTCTCCCTGTGCTGGCTGAAGAGACATCACCTCTGTGCTGAAGTCCCCACCCCCATTCTCAACCCCCCACAGCAAATCCAGTGGAAAGAACAGGCCCAACCACCTGCCCTAACTTTCCTGGGAGAAGCCCCCCATACTGGCCCCTCTTACCTCCTTTTTGCCTCTTCTTTTCCCTGATATCTGCCAGCTTCATCTGGAGGGGCTTCCTGTCTTCTGTAAAGCCACTGGTCACTGTGTCCCCCGGCTCAGCTCCCAGGAAGACTCGTGCCAGCAGGCCTGGGGTCTCCAGCCTGCCATTCCCACTGTTGTAGTGCAGGATGAGCTGATCGTCCAAGTATTCCTTGGCAACAAATATCGAGGGCAGAGAGGCATCCTGGGTCTCCGTGAGCTCATACTGAAGCCTGTGGGGTCCTGGGGGGAGAAATCCTCAGTGAGGCAGGTTTAGCTACCTGAGCATCAGAGTCACCCGAGGCTGCGCGTCCTGAGCCCTGGAGGCCTGGGGGCTGCAGACAGGGCTGTGTTCATGGGGACAGGAGGAGGATTCGCAGTACAGGACACCAGGCAAGGAGAAGGAAGGAGAGGGCCCAGGGAGGGGTAGGGAGGGCCAGAACTGGGGAGGGAGCGCACAGGGATAGGGTGATGGTCCAAGGGGACTGCACCTGAGAGGGGAAATCAAATTCTGTACAAAAGTTAACAACTATGTAAGAAAATAAATCTCAAGAAAGAAAGGAAAGAAGTAGAGGGGTAAGGGTGGAAGAAAGGCATGGAGAGGGGAAACTGGAGCCATAGGCAAAGAGAGGGGGCACCGGCTCCCTATGAGGACTGTGGGGTCTTGTCAGAGAGCAGAGAGGGGATATGAGGGTCCAGGGCAGGGGTCAGAGGTCAGAGCAGCTGTGGTGTGAGGCGGGGCAGGGGCGGGGGGGGGGGGGGGGTGACATGAGCCAGGCAGGGCTGTGCTTCCTCAAGGACAGGTTGGGGAGGTGGATGAACCTGCCTGTGACCCGGGGAGAGGCAGGTGCAGGGACTGGAGTCAGCCTGTGGGCCCAGGGAGTTTAGATTGGGGAGGGGGAAGCAGAACTTCAATGCCCAGCAGGTGTCCAGGGCACAGGAGGGGAGAGCTGCAGTGTGGGGATGATGCAGGTGGCAATGAAGCCCCTCCACAGAGGGAGGCTGTGTCCATCAGGGGAGGGTGGGAGAAGGCTCTGGGGGGTGGGCAGAAAGGCTGCCACAGGGTGGTGCATCTGTGGTGTGAGGAGCGAGAGCCCACTGGGGTCAAGGAAGCCAAGGGGGTGAAGGCCGAAGAGGAGCTGCATCAAGAGCAGCTCTCAGGTCTGGGAAGGGCGGGAGGCTGGAAGACAGAGGCAGTTGGAAGATTGGTGCTGAGGGCAGGACTGGGAGCAGAGATGAGCAGGGCCTGTGTTGGGGGTTGTGGGGGCCTGAGGGGCCTGTGTTAGGGTGCTGACCAGAGAGGAGGGTCTCCAGTTGAGGACAGAGGAGTGGGGAAGGGCCCGTGGTGAGAACCCAGGAGCAGAAGCTGCACTGGCTGGAGGAGGGAGGAGAGGCCCAAGAACAGGGCAGGTCTGTGCACAAGGGCTGTGCCTGTGGTCACGGCAAAGATGAGGAGCTCCCAAGCTCCCAAGGTGGAAGGTACTGTAACAGGGTGGTCCCCAGGAAGGGGGGAGGTTCCAGGTTCCCTGCCCCACCCAAAAGGAGGGTGGAGCTTAGCAGAGAAAGAGAAGCTGCAGAGGAGACTGAGGAAGGAAGGAAGCAGGGTGGAGCCAGAAGGAGACCTGGAGAAGGCACATGGAGCAGAGAGACATGTGAAGAAACTGTGCTTGTCTTTTGGTCGTGGACTGGGTGACACAGATGTGGGTGAGACCCGTGGGGAGGTGGCAATGGCGGTTTTTGTCTTGCTTTTGATTTTGTTCTTTTCCCTCCAGACTTGTCTGGTTGTTTCTGACCCTTTTCTGTGGGTCCCCACTGGAAGATGCTTTAGACTTGTGGCAGGCTTTGGGGCCTTGCTCTGGGCCAATCTCATTTGAATGGAGTTCTACCCACGATGGGACGGGTAACTTTCAGTGCCTGATTTAGAAACTAGATTATTTGCCTTTCCTGTATTGTTTCCTAATTGTATTAAAGTTCCTTCCCATTAAAGTCTCATATGTTTTGTGTTGATGCGGCGGATGGCAGAACCTATTTAGAGTAGGCAGGTTTGGGGGGTCTGGGCTGCCCCTCTCCCTGCCCTGCAACAGGACTAGCAAGGAGGGAGATACCTGAGGCCAAAGGCACCTTCAGAATCAGGGCTTAGTAAAATGCGGGGGAGGTAGGATCCATCAGGTGAAGGCTCCTTGCAGGCAATGATGCAGGAGGGCGGAACAAAACTAGTGAGGAAGAGGAGGAAGGACACCCTAGAAAACAGAGAGGAGGGACAGCAGGGAAGGGGGACATCAGGGGAAGGGACCTCAGGGGAGGGAGGCTAGAGGGAGGGGAACAGCAAAGAAGGGGTGAAGCAGGGAAGGCATGGGGTGGAGCTGGGAAGGAGGGGCAGCAGAGAAGGGGAAGGTGGCAGGAAGGGTGAGAGTATCAGGGAGGGGAGGCAACAGGTGAGACCAGAAAGGGTTTAGGACAAGAGCCATGGAGTAGGAGGGGAAAACATGCAAGACCAGAAAAGAACTGTGAAGCAACCTGGGGGGATGGGAACGCGGCACATTGCCCAGAGAGCAGGCCAGAAGTTTACTGTTTAAATACGTCAATATATCAGGAGGGTGCAACCAGCAAGTCCAGCCACACCTTCCTCCCCAAGAACCCCGCTAAAGGCCACACACTGGGCAACACCCAGGGCACCCCTCCCAGACCCTAAAAAGGCCCAGGCTCCCGCCCACCAGGACCAATGAAGCCCACTCACCAGCGCCCAGGGCTATGGGAAGGACAAGGGCAGCCAGAAGCAGAACCTGGCACCGTGCCATTCAGAAGCCCCCGCAATCTGAAGTGCCCTAAAGGAGTGAGCCTGGCCCAGCCAGCGGAGCCTGAGGCAGTGGAAGCTGAATGACAGCCAGGTGTGGCATGGCACGCCCATGCCCATGGCGTGATAGTGTGCCCCATGGCGTGATAGTGTGCCCCATGGCGTGATAGTGTTCCCATTATTTTCCCCGCCCTCCCGCGGACCCCAAGTATTTCTTGCCCCTCCCGCCTCTCCTGCTCAGCCAACTTTTTTAAAAGGAAACAAAAAAAAAAAAAAAAAAAAAGGAAAGGAAGTACACTGTGTCCTGATGTCTGGGCAGGGGAGACAAAAATCGGCAAAGCTACATAAACCGAAGATTTAAGGGCCAGAAATCCCAAAGACCGGTTCTGAGCAGCTGGGAGTGGCCCAACCCCAGCAGCCCCCTATCACTGCCCCTGCTCCCTCCAGAGCAAGGCCTCCCCCAGCTCCTGAGGAGACTCCAAGGAGCCTCTCCTGCTCCCTCCTCCTCTCCTTTTCTCCCCACACACCCTCTGGCCTGCACCAGGGTCTCGGGCAGTCACCAAACACCAGATGTGCAAAATATTTGCAGATCTCTGCCTCCTGGGCATCTGGGAAGCCGCTTGCAAAGCTGAATCCCTCAGGCTCCAAACTCTCTAAGCCCCCAAAGCCCCACAGCCATTCTGATCTCCTCCTCCTCTCCCTCCCCCCTTCCAACTCCCTGGTCATTGTGATGCAGTTACAAATGAGTGGTGTCTCAGATAAGAATTCACAAGTTTGTCTTCCCCCATCTCTTGCAAGTCCCACTTTTGACAAGTTTGCTGTCTTAATGACTGCTCTCCCAGATAAGCATTAACAAGTTTCTCTTTCCTGTATTTCTTGCAATTCCTCCCTTGTTTGACTGGTTTGTCTTCTTGCATTCCAAGGAGTTGGAAAAAAGCAAGCTGGTGCCCACCAGTCTCCAACCCAAGCCGGACTCCTTCCCTTCCCCTTTGCAGACCCTCGCCCATCTCCCCTTTTTTCCCGTTTGCATAAATACCCCTGCCCTCGCCAAAGAGCAGGATGGTTGTCTTTCAGACATGAGTCTGCTGCCCTCCTCATTTGTCGACAAATTAGAATGAAGCATGGTGACCTGGGATAAGCAGCCTGGGGACCTTAGTAACAATCTGGTATGCAACTTAGTCCCTGATATTGTTAGGGGAAAAAGGCTGTCCCAAAGCTAATTCCATACAGGCTTTGTGGACTCCACCCCCACCCCAGTGTTAGGGGGAAAAGGCTGCCCCAAAGCAAATTCCATACAGGCTTTGTGGACTCCACCCCCACCCCAGGTCAAAGCCAAAGACACTGGGAACTCCAAATCCCATCACCACTAAAGGGAAGGTGGCTGGGACCTGAGGGTGGGGTTAAGCAGCCAGGTGGATACAAAAGGCAGACATGTGGGCTTTGGGGCGCTCTCCATTTTGGAGCCCTCGGCCAGCTCGCGGCGTCCGTCTAGCTCTGAGAGTGACTTTGGGGTTTCCAGGTCGTCGGATCGGGTAGGACGCATTAAAGACTTTATTTCCCTATTTTCTCCCTGAGTTGTACATTTTCCTTATTTCTTTTTCTCTTGTAAATAAACCTTTTATTAACCCTTTTGCGTGTGTCTGTAGTAGAGTATTCATAAGTCCCTTTAAAGCGCGCGGGTGAGGACCCACAGCCAGGAACCCGTTTAATATCGGGGTTGCTCTATAACAATATGAATCTTAGACCATACACCGCTGTGAGGCAGGATGGACCTGGGGGGTCCCATGACTACGACCCTTTACTTACACCTTGGTATGGAACTATACGACTCACCTCTTGGTAGTAGCCATGTCATGTTTGACCATGTACAGCTGCCAATACAAACCCACCCGGAACCTTGCATAAACTGAAGGTGCATATAAGCCCCTGACTTCCTACAGATGGGGCTCAGCCTTGGGATGCAAATCCGCTGAGTCAGCACCGGTGCATTAAACCTGCTTCTTGTTAGCCCTGGTGTCCAGGTTTCCTTTGTGTCATATAACAAAACCACTTTCCTTTTCCTCAAACTCTATTTCCTTTTATTGGCTGAGGGAAACTGAGGCCGGGGTTCTGATCAAATACCAATGTGCAGGTGAGTTTCAGAAGCCCTGGTCTAGTGCATGATTTGACCCTCCTTGCTCTTTCCTTAGTAACCGTCTTTCATCACAGTGGTGTAAACTAAGAGTGCAGGAGTTGGAGGGAAATGTTTTTCCCCACCCCTGTCCCC